GAGTTTTACAAATGAGTCATTATATTACTCTAAAAGTACGCCTGGTGTGAAGAAAACAAACTCTAATAGATCGTTAACAAGCTTGTTATTTGAATCCTCTGCCGTCTAGACGCGAAAAAAACTCACAGACAGAGACCCCGCAGAAACACACATGTGGCCCGTTACTTGTCAAGCCGACAAAATGCGGTCGTGCTGCAAAACCTGGACGAAATTCTCTCGTTACTTTTGCATATGTGTGTGTAACTCTCTCCTCTTGGAGGTCGCGGTGTTTGCCTCTCTTTTAATGGGTCCGGGGTTCGAAATATGAGAGCGACTAAAAGGTTTTTTTCTCTAAAATTTCCTCCTTTCACCTCCTTTCCTGCTTTCTAACCACGTTCTGTCCTTTGCTTTCGTCTCCGCTTTTTGCCCCCACCCCCACTCCCCCCCAACTCCCTATTCCCCCTCCTCTGGGCTCCTGACTCCTCCTGCAGCCTTTCTATTACTACTCCTTGGCTCCTTCTTACTGCTGACTTTCAGACACACCCTTGATCTGATGGTAGGTAAGATCTAACACTAAGCATTCTCAGATTAGAGCGAAAAATCTCGGAAGTCCCGTGTGAAAGTGCGCACGCTAAAGATACCTTGGTGGTCCAAAATCCTTAAAAGTAGGCTTTGGCCGTCACCCGGGCAAAATTCAAAATAAATTCCTACCAAACGTTGAATGTTTAATGTGTCCGTACTCTCATATGACCTTATGCAGTTGCAAGCGCCGTTAAACACATTAAAGAAAAACACAATAAAAAACCCATCTCTTCTTGGCGTCTCTGATCTGGTGGCCAGCCATTTTGCTATTAAACATTAAAGGCTTAGGTTACATTTTCAACCAAAAAATAGGAGGGGGAGGGGAGGTGGAGGGGGAAACGCATTATTTAGCACTCTGGGTCTTCTTGATTTATATATCTGATTCTTGAACTGTGAATACCTGTAGGACCTGTTGTTGTTGTTGTTGTTGTTGTTGTTGTTGTTGTTGTTGTTGTTGTTGTTGTTAATGTCGTTGTTGCTGTTGTCGTTGTTGCTGTTATTTTAATGTCTGCTCAAGTTGTTGATGTTGTTGTTTTTGTTTCGTTGTAAAGGGAATTAAACTATTATTAAAGTATTTAACTGACTTCGAATGTTACATTTACATTGCCTTTATAACAATAACGTAGACTGTCATGATTTTCCTGTCAAATGTCCGTGTTGTAGACTCTATAAGGTTCGTGAGTCAGTGCATTTGCCTTCTGTCATAGTGTGACACCACCATTAAGCAGAGAGACAGAATAACCTGCCCCCTACCCCCCCTCTCTCTTTCTCTTTCTTTTTGGTAGTGTTTTACGGCGCTAGCCACTGCATAAGATCGTATGATTGCGCGGGACACAGATTGGTAAGAATTAATTTTGAATTTGGCCTAGGTGACAGCCGAAGCCTATTCTCATCGATTTTAGGTCCGCCAAGGGATCTTTGGCTTGCGCAACGTCCACATGGGACCTCCGAGATTTTTCGTTCTTATCGGAGAAGGCTATGTGTTAGATCTTAAGATCAAGGGTGTGGCCTAAAGATAGCAGTAAGAAAGAGCCAAGGAGCAAATAGTAGAAACCTGCAAAAAGAGTCAAGAACCAGGAGAGGGGGTAGGGTGTAGATAGGGGGGGGGGGGGGGAGGGGTGTAAAGTGGAGACGAAAGCAGACGACGGAACATGGCTATCGAGGAGGAAAGGAAGTGAAAGAACAAAATTTAGAGAAGAAAAATTTCCGTCGCCGTCAGGTTTCGAGCCTAGGACGTACTTCTGGACCACGAGGGTCCCTCCCTCCCCCCTCCCCCCTCTCTCTCTCTCTTTTCTTTCTCTTTCTCTCTATCTCTTTCTCTCTCACTCGTTCGTTCTCTCTCGGAAACAGAGCGTGTTTTTCAGCGTACAACGGCAAAGAACTTAGAAATCAAACAACAAACGACTAATATTTGCGTATTTATTGTTCTAAAGCAACAAAACGCAGCACTATTTTCTCGAGTTGATCACTTAATTCTTTCGAAAATTTTATTGATCCCAATCCGTCCATTGACTTCACTGCTTCGGTCCCTTGTCTTTTCTTGTCTAAGAGTGCAAGGATGTCAGAAATATAAAACACCTTTACCTGTTCAACCATGGGTGACCATACGCTTTGGGTTTCATTCGTGACTGAATAAAAAAAAAGAGGAGACTGAGTAATGAGAGAATTTAATCCGGAAAGTCAAAGCACGAGAGAGAGAGAGAGAGAGAGAGAGAGAGAGAGAGAGAGAGAGAGAGAGAGAGAGAGAGAGAGAGAGAGAGAGAGAGAGAGAGAGAGAGAGATGATGGGTGGGGGCTTACAGGTTTTTCATATTCTCATTGTGGATACTGTTAATCATCTAAAACAAGTCGCAAGACAACTTTTTCCTATTTCAGCAGTTTCTCACTTAATCGGCTTTTCCCTGTGAATAGAAGAAACTACTGACGAAGAGTAAACATTTTCAGCAGGAAAATATTAGTCAGATCACGACCTCCCAAGTCTTAGTTTTTGGTTTCCAGTTATTGGCATGATAACAGGCAAAATATTGCCCGTTTGGTATCCTCAATAAAGCAGGATGGTTCGTGTACTGAAATTTAATCTTATTGTAGAGACATTTTCACCTTTGCTCAAATCACAAGTTTCACTTAAGTAAGCACTGTTTTTCTAATATTTATTAAATAACCAAAAAAATGGCAAATAGTGTTTAAAACCATAAAGAAAAGAAAGTTGGAAGTGACTTTAGTGCAGAGGTTAGATACGACGGACGCAAAAGGTTAGGTAAGCGGAATGGTCAAGGGTCAAGTAAACAAATGGCGATGGAGTGAATCAAAGTCAGGGGCTGAGACCCCCAAGTTAATTAATAAGGAGGTTACGTAACCAAAGCTTTGCTATCTAGAATAGAGTTTCCAGGAAGAAGTAAGCAGCTCTATGGAATCTTGTTGATGTTCATACGACAGATAAGAGAGGTGGGATGTCATGAGTCTTCAAGACTCTTAGGCCAGTCAGTGCAAATTTTGGGAGTAATGCCAGTGCATATTAAATGTGTGTGTGTGTGTGTGTGTGTGTGTGTGTGTGTGTGTGTGTGTGTGTGTGTGTGTGTGTGTGTGTGTGTGTGTGTGTGTGTGTGTCTGTGTGTGTATGTGTGTGTATATATATATGTGTGTGTGTGTGTGTGTGTGTGTGTGTGTGTGTGTGTGTGTGTGAGAGAGAGAGAGAGAGAGAGAGAGAGAGAGAGAGAGAGAGAGAGAGAGAGAGAGTGTGTATCTGTGTACAATATTCGTTTGTTTGTGTAGTTTTGATTGTTTGTGATTATGCTACCCTGTGTTTGTTAGTGTATTTCTTTTTGTGATTATTGTCGCACTGTTTGTCAGTATGATTTGTTTGACCATACGGATACTCCTCCAATTTTGTGGACCAACAGATTTTTCAGAAAAAGATGAGCTCATTTACGAAGTTATTAACTGTACAAATCATTTGCTTTCCCATCCTGAACAGTGTCAAAGACTGAGAGATAAAAAACTCCCTGAATAAGTGAATATCCAGCTTTCCTACACGAAGGTAGTTACCTTCCATGCTCAACCAAGATAACTATTTCCCAAGAACGAGATTAGCTTCGTGATTACAATGGCCCTGAAAGGCAGGTTATGAAAACACATGTCATCCTTATTGTGGTTTGTGTTAGTTAAATATAACGAGAACTGAAAAGCTAATGAAAATAACGGGGACTACATGAAAAGCATATTGTCCGGTATTTTATCTACTGATTTGTGGGGCTAAGCATGATTCAGAGCTAACGAAACTATCCTCGTAAAATGAAGTTCTTATGTCCAGCCAATCTAGAATCACCAGGGTTTCGAACCTGGAGATTCCACTTTCTGTTCCCCTCCCTGCCCCCCCCCCCTCACCCGGGCTCCTATCTCCTTTACTCCTGACTCTTTCTACTGCTGTATCTGGCTCCTTCTTACTACTGTCTTTCACCCCAGATCAATTGGTAGATAAGATCTAACCCCCAATGTCGGAAAGGGCGAAAAATCTCGGAGAAACTGTGTGCAAGTTGCGTACGTTAAAGAGTCCCTTGGTGGTCCTAATATCGATAAGAGAAGGCTACGCTGCCACCTGGGCAAAATTTAGAATTCTTTCCTACCTAAATCGAAAACACTCTAATCAGTATAAAAACTTATAGAGTATCTTCGAAATCAGAATGTGACTGCCTGAACGCAAACGTTTCCATTCATAAAAATCAGTTGCTCTGCCGGTTGAAGAACCGGCAGCCGACTACACCTGGAGTCCAGTAGGGGAACGCAAAAAAGAAGAAGAAAGAAAATGGAGATGTCCTCTGAGAGCGTCTAGGCTGGGTTTTATCGCTGACGAACGTTATGACGTTTATGTGCTTGTAATGCCCCGCTCAACGCAATTTGATTTCCTCTGTGGACTGCTGCGACCCTGCCAACCAGAGCCAACCCAAACTCAACATAAAGATGAACATACAAGACATAATGGATTTCCCTTCTTTGGAAATGAATTCACTTCTTCTATGCACAGCGGCCAAGAGCTTAACTAAACTCAACGTGATGTCTCCTAATGAAAACGCCTGTTTCTAACGTGGCACAAAAACCACAGCAACCACTGCAAGTATGTTAAAGGCAAAAGTTATAGAGTACCACCCATAATGCATCGTGGATTTGAGACCTAATTTACTTTGGAAGTCACCAGAAGTTGGCTGCCATTTTCTTGCTAATGTTGTCTCTGAAACAAGGCGGCTACACCGCCATCAATCGCAAATAATATCTTGACTTCAAGTCAAGATAAGGAGGTAGTTTTTTCCTCAAAAGATGAGCAAGCTACAACCTTCCAGATGATATCAATGACCCCACATGCCCTAAAAATGACGAGCGCCTGATTCCACCTTGTCGTGACATATACTATTATCTTTTCATTATTTTATGTTTCTTTTGCTACAGGCATGATGCCGCCAGTAATCGACAGATGGGGCTGGCTGACCAAGATCTTCCTGTCCCACATTATAGTGGCTGTGGGTCTAGTGGCCAATGTGTTCACCTTTATCGTGATGAAGACCCCGCGGCTACGGTACAAATCCTACTCTCACTACCTGAGCGCTCTGGCTGTATTTGACAGGTATGTAAACGGACGTTACCAACTGTGCATTCGAGCCAGTCGAGTCCATTTGGCTTTTAATTGTTGTTTTTTAAATTGTTGTTTTAATTGGTGTTGTCCTTTTCTTTATTGACGGGGCCGGGGGGGGGGGGGGAGGGGGTTGGGGCTGCTTGTTTTGTACAGGTTTCAACTCCCTAATAGACTTTAAGAAAACACCATAAGCTTCACTGCTGCCATGATGTGCTATGCTGTGGAAGATCCTGGTCATACTGGTGGTATTTGAACCTGTTTTTGTTTCGAAGTTTTCGTACGTACTCAGCTTTTTTCTTTATAGGAGTAGAAGAATAACATTTTTTTTCTCTTAACAGGGTACAAAAATAGATATGTTTGCAACATCCTAATATCGTTTTATAGGGCTCAAACAGAACATATGAGATTGCGAATGATATCTAAAAAAATATAGTTTCTGAACTACTGTCTTTGTTTTCTGTTGTCTGAATCGTTGATACGAACTCTTTGTATGTAATTATTTTGTTCAGTGTTCACGTCGTTTGCAGCAGTGGTGGAGATAGGTTTATCTTAACTAATGTTCATTGAATACATTCACGTCTTCCACATAGGCAGACACTAAATTCCAACCTCCTGTTGCAAAGCATTACAAGGCAATAAAGAAACCCACGTTACGTGTGGCTGTCTTTCAGCATTCATTTATTCTTAATGATATATATTTATATTATCACACTTTGAATACTTTTGTTGCAATAACTTGCAATGTGTAACAGTGTTTGGACAATGTCAAAGAGACAGTTAACAGATACGATGATACCTTCTCTCGTTTGTTGATGTCCAGTTTTAAATTTCTACACAGTGCTTTTCTGTTCAGGGGTGAGCACGCCTGACTTCACCTTGCAGAGACTTGCGATTGTCTGTGTTCCTTAGAAAATGGGTGCCAGTGGACTATGCACCTAATATGATTTCAGAAAGAGCTGGGTCATGTTTAGTTTTGGTAACTGAAGGGACAGAAAAAAATGCCTCTTTTGGCCCGTCCGTTACCGAAACTAAACAGGTCACAGAATTTGCGTAAAGTACAGAGTGATACCCCCCCCCACCAACAAAACAACTTTACAACCTTTTCTGTAAATATGTTCCTCCATACTGGGGCTTTGTGTTTCAAATTTGAGCACAATAGTTGGCAACAAAAAGGAATTTGTCGGATAATCATTTTAGATACTTCCACAAAATAGTTTTGCTCTATATAGCGCAAAAGAAAACAACTCATTTTTTGCCTTCTCCCCAATTGTGTAGCATGACGCACCAGTTTGCATTGGGCCTGCCACTGAAAGTCGCAACGATTGCGCCATATTGCAAGCTACGGCAATCTTACAAATCAACAGAGATTTGCCGATATTGCTTTTTCCAAGTTATCTCTGCCTGCTGAGATCATAGTTATGCTCAGTCAAGAGTAAAGAGTTTTTTTGTGTTTAGCGTTACCTTGCCTTCAACTAATCTTCCACGACATTTCGTAAGTTTCGCATAAGATATGGGCAGAAAGTTTAAGTGCCCTCAAGGCCTTCTTTGATGCCATGGGTAGAGATGTCCTGTCAGTTTGGATCCATAGAGAATCAGATTTAAACATTCCTAGACAAATCGACCACTACAGGTCGAAATCGCACCGTTTGCACCCCTTTAAATGTCACCAGGATACAGAATTCAGTAGTCCAGTCCCGTGAGACGTCTATCCGCTGACGAAGTCTGTGGCTAGGACTTTGCTACACTTTAATGGTCAATTTTCTCAAGATAGATTTTCACCTATGACAGGATCATTTTTATGTTCGTGAGGATAATGTGGATCAGATGATGGCAATGTGATCATGGTTTCTCGGTTGTCTTGAAAAGCGTGAACATTCCCTCAATGGCGTTTTGATTCAGTGGCACAGTTCATTTTTAGTTTTTAGACGACACTTTGCAATGAAACGCTTACAGCGTGTGCGGTTTTAATCATCCACGGTTTGACGGGTCCTTACGTTTGGCCACCACGAATGAAGCGTCAAAGTTTTTCGAATTCAAATAAAGATATGTAGAGCACGTGGACTAAAAATTCTAGAATAATAATATTACTTTTTAAAAATTCTGTAAGAGAAATGAATCATTGAATATTGTTTAAATGTCACAGGGATGGAAAATTTTACTGTTAAAAAGAAAAGGAAGGAAAAAAAAAGCAAACCAATCGGTTCATGACTTTCCTTAAGGATTTTTAATTGGTACATTTTTGGTTTATAGGCTTTGTTTTGTTTGTTTTTGTCGTTTTCGTTTCCCAAAACAAGTTTTAAATTTATTAATTTTGTGTCAAATTCTTTTTGAACGAATAACATCCGTTCCAAATTACAACATTCTGGACAAACTTTTGTTTGAGATGTTCAGAAAAAAAGTTGTAAAGATTTTTTGAGGGAGGATCACCCAGTACTTTTTTTTTCTAAATGACTGAATGTAATAATATGATTCTTAATATGTCTTTCAAAGGTTCTAATCATTTAAAGTTGAAACAAAATTATATTGAATCACAGCATTGTTATTGTGAGAAAGCATAGTCCAAAATTAAATGGTCCGTAAGTTACCATGGAATAGCACGAAAATATTTAACAATAACACAAACCTGTTCCCATTGTTGTTACCCTCTCGGTAAAGCTTTTGCCTCTTGTGTCTTGCACTACTTGGAGACTAGCAGGTGGGCGAGTCTTTTTTTGATAAAGACCTTTTTATTTTCCTAAATCTACAGTCTTCCAACGATCTGTAGAATACCCATGTGTACACTTATCTAATTCTGTACTGCTGCAGTGACAAGAAGAAAAGTTAGTCTGTCGGAAATGCAAGATTGTTTCTTCACTGACGTAAATGGTTGTACTCTAAGACTATTCTATGCAAAAGTTCTAAGTATGTGTCAGATGCACTTTTCGCTAATGAACTGGTGTTTATTAAGTCTTTAACCCAGGCTTCCAGTGTTGGCTTGTTTGATACTTTGAATCTGCAGTATCCTCTCAGTATACTTCTCTTCCCTTACACTGTAAGATACACAGCGGGGGTGGGGGGGGGGGGGGTTTGGGGTGGGGGTGGGGGCTAAATGAGTTTTCATTACCACTAATTTTCTTTAGATGGTCCAATTTGTTTCCTGAACCATAACTTGAAACATAAAATGTTTTCCAGACTCCCTTCGGGCTCAGTGAGTCATGGAAGGCTGAGTTCTTTTCCTCGGGCTACATTAGGCTACAGATACAAGCTGAACTTTCACTGAAAAGAATAACAATCGAAGCGTCGGTATTTCTAACTGGTATCAGATAGATCGTTTTATAAAGGGGGGTATTTTCTTCTTTTGTGATGCATCCAGACACTCTGGTTGACATGATCGTCTATCTGGGATAGTTTTAAAATGTCCTCACTGTCTACTGTCCTGTAGAGTGAGCAAGATCTCCGCATTTGACTCGTTGTGCCTTGTGTAGGTCGTTAAGAGACCCAAGGGATAAGTAAAGCCTTTCTATTAATTGCGCTCAACGACTTCTCCTGAACATTCGTTCTTATTTCATGAACTGCAAATCTAATTAATTTTTTCCTCAGTTTGGTTCTGATAGGTCAAGAGGTGCACATGGTCCATGAGATCTTGCAGCACTTAGACGAGCCAGGCTTGTTCGGCGCTTTTTCTCACAGTGCTTGTAAGGTGAGTGAAGCAAACTACAGATATAATGGAACAGGCTTTATATCTGAGTGTTCTGTACCAAGAGGGATTTACCATTTAACATTTCTATTATATATATATATATATATATATATATATATATGGAACAAAGTAAAAAAGCAGAAAAGATAAATTTGCTGCATGATCTTTCTAAAAGAAGAAAAAGAGCGGTGATCTTTGCATAGCTCAAACAGACAAACAAAACAAAACAAAACAAAACAAAAGCAACAACAACAAAACCCAAACAACGGTAACGACCAATAACTGATTTTGAAAGCGTTATTTGACCTGCTATTAACAAGTGCGAACAGCTTTGATGTTTCTGAACCATCTATTGCTTCAACTAGACGAACAAATAAACAGACAAACAAAAACAAGAAAAACAAACATCCCCCCTCTCAGAAGAACAGTGCAGGGAAGGAGATACCAACCAACCAACCAACAAACCAACCAACCAACCAACCAACCAACCAACCAACCAACCAACCAACCAACCAACCAAACAAACAACCAAACAACCAAACAACCAACCAACCAAACAAACAACCAAACAACCAACCAACCAACCAACCAACCAAACAACCAACTAACCAACCAACCAACCAAACAACCAACTAACCAACCAACCAACCAACCAACCAACCAACCAACCAACCAACCAACCAACTAACCAACCAACCAACCAACCAACCAACCAAACAAACGGCAAACCAACCAACCAACCAACCAACCGGTCAATTATTCAACCAATTAGTCCATCCATCCATCCATCCATCCATCCATCCATCCATCCATCCATCCATCCATCTTGTCAATTTTAGAAATTGAGTAACCCTATGCTCTGTGTAGTTTTTAACCTCTCTAGCATACGAGTGCCATTTTTTTTCTCAGTTCTCATTAGCTGTCTTTCATACCAACTTTTCAATACACGTACCTAATATTTTGATAATATTAGTGTGGTTAATGTATTTTGATCAACGATATGTCTAGTGCGTTTAAACGTTCGTTTGTCCGCGCGCGGGAGAGCGGTAATTAACACAGAACTACGAGAACTCTCCGATACAAGTACATGGGACTCTGAAAGGATTAGAAACCCAGACTCCAAGATTACGAGGCGAGTGTCTTAATCTCTCCGCACTCACTGACCCCGCCCACTCAACTGGCGTTCGCTGATATCCCCCGTCTCACCTGGTGTAATCTCTTAATAACCTGCCAAACCTGTTGCCGCTTTTGTTGAGAACAAGAGCGTTTATCCAATTTTCCTTCAAAATTCAGCAGCACGCAGCACGTGTGAGATATTATGTTTTGGACTAGATGACTTTTCTGTTGAGGGAGAGGTTTTGTTTGGTTACATAAAAGACATTTTCCTGCCCAGATTTGTGGCTTAAGAGGCGTGAGATATCGCTGAACTTGAGAGAGACTTTGGAAAGGGGCAGAGGGGAAATGAATGGAATTCAAATACGTGACATTGTGAAAACAAAATGACTGTCATTATTACTGTGCCCCCCCCCCCCTCCGACCTTTTCCCTCCTTGATCTCTGATAACTGATTTATTGCAAATGATTGCAAATGTTTTACCTTTAGATAGAAACAATAAAAGATACATTCGAAGCAGGGGAATGATTCCACCTTGTCACCTGAGCTAACCAGCAATGAGCGGCATACCTTATCCCAGCACAAAGAACACACACAACCGATAAAATAGACTTTTCTCGGGGGGGGATTTAATTTGCACCTTCACAGACGTCGATCCCATAAGACAGAGAAGAGTAGAGTAGACAAGACATAGAAAGAAAAATCTTATTGCAAGATCTATGTTAATGCAAGACACGTCGTCAAGGCTACCAAAGCATTATCAGACGCAATCTCTTCCGAACTTAGTTCAAAAGGCAAAATGAGTTTGTTGGATAATACGCATACGGATACAACATTTGACAGAGTAACAAATCCCTGAAGAAGACGCTGACCGAAGCGCGGCACGGCCATACCCTGATTGACATATTCACCATCAGGGTGAGTCCACACCCCACAGGACAACTAGAGTGATTTCCGGAAGTTTAATCCTCTTGAGACCGGAAGCTCCCCTTGAATGAAGGTTTATTGGCAACTTTGGCGAAATAGAGCAGTCTTATTGCTGCGTACTTTTACCATGATGTTGGAACTAATGAGGTACTATTTCGGAACTTTCTTTATATAGCCACAAAAAAGAAGAAAAAAACAACAACAGACCCAAAGGTTGGAGAATTGTTTTAGGCAAATCTCAGCAGATTGCGCTCGTTTTGTAACAATGGTCAATAATGGAAGCAACATTCCAAAAAGGGTAAGCGCTTATAAAATATATTTGGCCCTACATTACACACACACACACACACACACACACACACACACACACACACACACACACACACACACACACACACACACACTCGCCCATATATATATATATATATATATATATATATATATATATATTTATATATATATATATTATATATTATATATAAATACACACACAACACAACACACACATACAAACACTCATATGTGATACATAATTTCTATAATATATATGTATAATACATATAAAATAATATGATAGTTTCAAAATATATTATATATCAATGGCTGACGCAAGAAATTGGTATATCCACTTTTCACAATTTTCGAGGAAAACTAGCCTTTAAAACACAGTCAAGAAGAAAAAATATTAGCTCGATACCGAATTAAGCTAGGGCTTCAATATTTATAGATGTAAAAGAGCGCTGAAAATTTAACTACCAATATCGATCTCTCCATTTCGACCAAAAGTGGAAAAAGTCACGTTTTGCGCTCAGACATCGATATGTATAATATTTGATTATATTATATTCATAGGTATATTGTTTAAAAAGGAAAGAAAGAGAGTAAAAAGAGAAGTGAGAGATAGAGAGAACGGGAGAAATATGAAGAAGAGACACAGAGAGAAACAGAGGGATAAATATATATGTATATATCTATATATATATATATACATATACATATATATATATATATATATATATATATATATATATATATATATAATATAAATATATATATATAATATATATATATAGAGAGAGACAGAGAGAGACAGAGAGACAGAGAGACAGAGAGAGAGAGAGAGAGAGAGAGAGAGAGAGAGAGAGAGAGAGAGAGAGAGAGAGAGAGAGAGAGAGAGAGAGACGGAGGGATTGAAGGAGGTAGGGGTGGCTACCAAAGCCCAGGAACATTTTAGTAAGGATGGGGAGATATCCGATTGTCCACACATTATTCATACGACGTCGAGTCATATCGCTAGTTAAAATCTTCTCGGTCAGATCTCCACCTTACAGCTCCTGATAAGGCATACGGATCCAACAAATGGTACTGCGCCATCCTCGTGCTACTTTCCTCAAAGTGAGGCTAGGGGTTGGTTTCGGTTGATGATTTATCGTCTTATGTGTACTGACAGTCACGGTAACTGTAATATCATATTTATAGATGCATCGATACTTCGATTTTTGAGCGTGCACTTTGTTGTTCGCATTTTGCTTATTAGTTTTACGGGAGAGCTCGTTCGAAGATAAATTTGTGTTTTCGGAGGTTTAGACGGCAGCGTTTCTCCAAAATCTTGTAAAATATTTATTTCATTTGGAAAAAGCTTACAGCCATTATTTTCTCGTACTAGACTTGAAGAAAATGTCGTGGTATTGGGAAGCTTTTTTTCTGCTCAATTTTCATGTCATTTGATGCAAGATCTTGCTGTCGTGCGCCTCCAATATTTAATGCAAGCTGTGTCGAAGTTCAAAGAAACTTTTTCATATTTACTAGACTTTGATCTCATAATTACATGCGTCTTTTATGTGGTGGGTACAGTCTTTGCTGTTACAGGTAGAAGACTTGACTATGATTCCCAGACGGGAAGTAATTTGTTTATTTCGAATCTTGGTCTTTTAGATGGAATGTCGTGCCCCACCTAGCCAGGGTTGTCCCTGACAGCGTGGTAGAAGCAGACCGCCTCCTGAAATAAACTATTTGTATATATCGATGGTGGTAGTAGGCATAGAAAGCTATTTCACAATCGACACCCTTGTTCTTTTTATGAAGATATTTCTTGTTCATTTAGTAACCACATTACATGTATTTAAATCGTTTACATTTAAACATGTGCTGCAACCTCCCTCCCCCCTCTATCTCTCCTGAAAAAAAATCCTGACTCGGTTTAGCTTTAGACACGGTCTACAACTCGTACAAAAAGATGTCTCAGTCAGTGGTGGTGGGTGGACCAAACTTTTGGTCGGGCTTAGGTTGATTCCACGTCTTTACCACCATATAGATAACAACAAGACCTGAACAGTGATGATTTTTCAATACTCACAGTGAGCCACGACATTTTGAGAACCATTCAAACGAGAAGAGTCCTCCTTGTCTCCATTCTCTTTGTTCAAAGTTAAATTCTTCTGAGTGGTGGGGTCGACGAAGCCGTTTCACCTCAAATTAAAAGTTTTTCGAAGTTAGTTATAACTGCTCAATCTCAGCGGCACAAACACAAACAGGCACACAGCACTTCAAACATATTCCGTCTTTGAGCAGGATTAGGCCGTGTAATCGAGGAAAGCAGACATCACCTAACAACTTCCAAAGAGAGCGTAGGTATCTGTGTCACTGGGGGGAAAATGTGTCGTAAACGTTCATCCCATTGTCAGGGCTAGGAGAGCGTGAACCCTTTGCACAATGCTATTTTTTCAAGTCTTCTACCTTTTTAATAGAGGGATTTCATTGTGGAAGGGCTGTGGGAACGGGCTCGTTCTTTGCTGAGCCCCAAAGACATTTGATTCGCTGTTAGGTTACTAAGGTTACAAGCGGTGACAACAGTGATTCGATAAACGAGCATGCCGCCAAGTTGATCAACTGCTTATTTCGCTATTTAAGAAACTTTTATTTACTTTGGGATAAATTTGGGGTGTGGGGAGTGGGGCTCAAGCCCGTAAGCCCTTCCCTACCCACAGCCACTGGTCTCAGTGTTGCACAGCACGACATGAGAATATTTTGCTTTGTAGATTAATTAATCATTCCTACTGATTATGTAGCAAAGCTAATATTTGGTCAACAATGTTCACATCTAATTTTCCCTTGCGTTTATAGTGGCTTTTTGCATCGTGTTTTCTAAGCATAACAAAGGAGAATACCTGGGATCTTTAAAAAAAGATTGTTCCCTTTTTAGCACTAGAAATTCTTTTTTGTTTCAGTTCTTTTTTGGGAAAGGACTCAAGACTATACACGGTTCTGTTATACTGAGCTGGGCGACAGAAAGCATTGTTGTCTACAACATTGTAAATTGTTTTCACTGTTAGACATTGAACAATGCTTGGTTGCGGTTACAACAGCCGCAGCAGACACAAAAAAAATCATAGATAGTCAGAAAAAGGCTAATGGCGTGAGGGAAAAGAAGACCATATTATAACTCACGTCTTTGGGGGGACTATTAATTGAGCTTCGTGTCTGGCAGACAATGTCGATTAAAGGATCCCTTATATAAAAAAAAATACCCAGCGGTTTGATGTAATGGGATACGTTTATGTTTAAGATAATATTCTAGCGAAGGACCCACTTATATACACAAAGAGAGAATATTCTATAACTATGCCCGAGTCTCTGACTTGCACTACAATGGAGTTATTTTAAATTGAAGACATAAGGACCGCCCCTTAAATGACGGGCTGGAGAACTTTAATTGAGCCGTAAAGAAAGCATGTAATTGAAAAAAACATTTCCTTGAAGTGAACATGAATCCAAATCAAACGCGTTGTAGTTAAATATTAATGTGCCCTCAACATAAAAGGGACATTGCAAGGCTATCAAGACGGCGCATTTACCAAACACAGCATGCTATGTGGCATCGAAGATGTGTGGAACTTTTTTTATTTAAATTAATTCACTGCTACAGACTTTCAGACCGCTGACATGACTTGCACAGCTTTGCACTGAGGCACGTTTTAAGGAAAATCTATTATAAGGCTATATCACAATTTTAGAAAGGATTACGTAGTGGGTAAATGGACTTGTATTATACGAGGTGCACTGTCATGGCTCTCCTTAAAAACTTCACTTATTAGAAGCGGTCACGTCATAAGTGGTGCCATTACCCAAAATGAAGGGAAAAACACCAGTCTCTCTATAGCAGAGTGCACACGTCACTTTTCTTTTATTGTCCATCATATGGATCATACTAACTCAAGTAGAGGGCGATATATTGAAGGGATGAAAGATCTAAGGTATTAGGCAGGACTATGAGTAGATGTCAGTTTAGCCTTTTAGAGAAAGACCAAGAACGTTTTATATATTTATTGATCAGAAAAAACCTTTCTGTTTATATAGGTTTCTGTTGTTTTGTAAAGAGCCACGAAACCTGTGTACGTCAATCGAGGTTAAGCGCTATGTAACTGCCTTGTTATTATTATTGTCATTGAGAGCACAGGACTACACAACAAAACATGTTCATTAAGAGCAGGCAAACACCAAACAAGCCTTTTCACCAAATGTTAAACGATTGTAGGTGGTTGAATTTTTGCACCTCCGTCGACACAATTTAAGTGTTTTTGGGGAACTGCTGCTTCAAAACTGTCTGTCAGGGCCAAAAGGGTGCGCTCCGGCAAACCAGTAGAAGGATGCAGTAACCCGATACAATATTAATAGTGTTATCACTACATCGGGATCGCGCTCACATAATTTGCATGTAGCTACCAAAAAACTGACCATTACTCACATACAAGGAAACACAGATTTCAAGCTATGCTTTGGTAGAAGAAAAATCAGTTGTTCGATTTACTTTTCTTTCACTTTGAAATTGAGAACTTTTAGGGGTGCCACATTGAAAAAAATGATCTTTGACTTTGAGCTGTTTCTTAAACTAGCGGATCAGCATATTTTTTTAAGGGCTGAAGGAATTTGCACCGAATCCCCCAGAGATGCGCGTCAAACGCCTTCCTAGGATTTTCCGTAAAGGCATTCTTTTATGTTGGTTACACAACTCTTTTCTCAGAATTTTAAGTTTAAAATGTGTCCATACAACCTAGTTTGTTGGGGTTTTTTTTGACTGTATGAGTAGGTATTCTTCTTATGTTTTCCAATTACTTTTCAGTTATGTGGGTATTGATGTACAGGACAAGAAGAAACGATCTTTTTCTTATAAACAGGCATACGATAAGCTGTGGGGTAGGACATTGAAAAACATTATTTGGTCATCCTGTGAAAACCAAATTTGCATACTCTATTAGAAATGTGTGAACAAATTATACACCACCCGATCTGCAAAAGCAATGTTACCACTTTTTTTCTAGCTTCAATAAGAATGCGAAAGCTTTGAATCTTTATTGACAGGTGGTTTTGCTATTCCTCCTCTGGTTCAAAACTGATCTGAGTTATTATTTTTCTCTGCAATAAATTATAGTAGCACCAAATTTTACCCCACACCAGTAGTGAAAACACAAACAGCAACATCCGTGGTACAACAGTTAGGCAATTACCCACTTAGAGGTGGGAGACATGAGTTCAACTAATGATTTTTTTCGTTAGAAATCTGTTTTATCAAGCATCCTCGACTGTCTGTTGGAATACAACATCCCACTCAGACCAGGTTGTCTGTATGTATGTATGTATAGTATAGGGTTTTATGGCGCTCGCAACTGCTAAGGTCATATGAGCGCGCGAAACACAAGTTGTTCACCTTTGCAAAAGTTCACTCCACAACTGGTTAACTAATTGACTTTAAAATGCTAAAAAGTTAAAATATTTAAATTCAGTGTAAATACATAGGTTGTCTCTGTCACCCTGCATCCAAAAAATATTCTAAATTGTGTCGATGGAAAGTGTAGAACACTCGGCATAATTTAATTCTGTCTTCAATGCACCCATTGTGTTCAACACTGACATAATGATCTTAACCTATGTGTTCACGTTTTACTAAAACCATGGTGTCAGGCGTCAGGATCTGGCGCAAGGCGCAATATATTAAATTAAAACCCTGGCGTCAGGATCTGGCTCAGGTCATGACCTCGCCCAAGGCATAGAATTTTAAACTAAAACCATGACGTTATGATCTCTCTCCAGGTGTTCACGTTCGCTCAGGCCGTGTGCAACCTGATGTCGTCCTGGCTTATCGTGGCCATGGCTATAGAGCGCATGTGCGTGGTGTACATGCCCTTCCGGCGGAACATGTGGTGCCAGCAGCGCGGGGCAGTCATCATCATACTCACTCTCTTCTTTTTCATGTCCTGCACGCAGATATTCCGGTAAGTAGTCTACCACGATCCCCTTTTGTGTTACGTGTGTTTTTTCGCTCTGGCGTCACTGATGTCTGTGACGTAACAAGGGTTTTCAGGAGTTTTCTCCCTTCCTTGTCCATGTTCTAAAAATGATTTCACAACAATCTGTTTTGCTTGTTTGTTGCTGTTTTCCTTCATGGGAATAAGGGCTGGGGGACAAAAGATCTACAGTATTGAATTGATGATAGCAATCGCGGAGTAAGGTTTGTTCCTCATTCGCTTCTTCATCAAACATATATTCAGAAGTTGCTTTTCTGCTTTGTACGTCTACCTTTTATTGATGGCTGTAAGTTGTTTTCTTATTGTTGAAATAATACTAGTCCCACTATATAAAACAGTAGTAGGAAAGCGCCAATAGTAGTTCGATTTTAAAAAAGCTTATTCTTTGTGTTAATTCTATCTCTTTGTCTTGTCTTTTTCTCTGCTCTTAATGGATATTAATGTGTCCATTTGCTTCTGTTCACTTAAACAGATCTTCTCTATTACATTGATTACATAATGACGAACAAGGTGACTCAAAGACAAAGCGCTTAGTTCCCCTGCAAGACATATCGAACAGAGAAACACCAAAGAAAACTTTCAACAAGGACGATGACATCTACATAAACTATCTAATCAAAATCGAACCTTTAACCACTCGCGTGTGTCAAACTCATGCATAAACACAACTCAGTAGAATATCATTTTTTAAAACCGGAAAGGTTTTTGCCCTGAGTCAGTAACCACCAGAGACCTCTGTGCATATTTTGCTTGAATAATGCATGACCACTGTGTCTGAAAGAATTGGGAACGAATTCCGTTTCCCCCCATAACTTGATAGATTCACATCAACGAATGGGTACTGAATTTTGAGTGTCATTTTTATGCGACAAACTACTGACACCACAAGCATATTATAAAGCAATGGAAGCCGCATTTCCACGGATTTTCACTATATATAGAGAAATCATTTTGACGTTTTTTTTAAAGTCTAAGATTATATAAAAGGCTATACGTTGCATTACCTCATACGTTTACAACAGGCTCAATTGGTTTGCCGTCTGCATCCTTAAGTATTCAAAATTTACGAACGTCCTCTTGGGGATTTGAACGAGGACCAGCGACCCAGCATGATACCAACACAGTTAACAGAGGGCTTTGGGAAAAAAAAACAACAACCCCAAAACACTTGTGAAAAACGGAGTTCCGCTTTTGCAATGTTCTAAAAATGCTTTTTACTGTTTAAACTATACTGTCGGAGGCTTGTGTCAGTCTCGGGAAACACATGGCAAGTGCAAATGCAAAACCTGCTAAAAGATAGCGTCCCGTGCATAGCCTAAACTGACGACTGAACAGAGAAAGAAAAAAAAACACCTGAAAGAAAATAACCCCCAAAATTTAAATGCCCTCTTAAAAACCCCCAGGCAGAACAGATTTTGATCGAAACTCTGCTCTCTTGTCATTATCTTTGCGATTAAAGACTCTAATTTTTATTCAGAGTAAACTGTTTATGTTTCATCTTTATGCTGCAATAACGATTTCCCCGCTATGCCTGCATCTTTGTGATTTGAGAGGTTCAGCGTATTAGAGAGCCGGATGAAATTAAATTTTTAATTTTTCACTTGTCCCATTTCACCCCTCTCCACTCTCTGTATGAGTAAAAAAAAATCAGTATTAGATTGAGAAGAAGGGCTCGATGTGCCAATCTTTTGAACAGTATTGTGAGGGTGAGAGGTTTTATACATTGTTTACAAGCGTCTCTGGTGTAGTAGTGTAGCGTATCTTGAACGTTGCAAGCGTTTTCTGATCGTAAGAGTCCATTTGTTGCCTCTCTCTCTCTCTCTCTCTCTCTCTCTCTCTCTCTCTCTCTCTCTCTCTCTCTCTCTCTCTCTCTCTCCCTCTTTCTATCTATTTATCCATCAATATATATATCAATCAATCTCTCTTTCTTTCTCTTTATCACCCCCACCCCTGTCTCACTATCTTTTATCTCTCTCCCTCCCTCTTTCCCTCTCTCCCCCCCTCCCTCTTTCTTTCGCTCTCTCTCTCTCTCTCTATCTATCTATCTATCTATCTATCTATCTATCTATCTATCTATCTATCTATCTACCTATCTATTTATCTAACTTTATCTCTCTTTATCCCCTCCAGCCCCTTTTCTCACTCTCTCTCTCACTCTCTCTCTCTCTCTCTCTCTCTCTCTCTCTCACTCTCTCTCTTTCCCTTTCTTTCTCTCTCTCTCTCTCTTTCTCTCCCTTTCTTTCCCCCTGTTCATCTCCCTCACGTGTTCTATCCCTTTATCTGTACTGTCTCTATCTCTTCTTGTCTCTGTATCCCTTACTGCCTCACTTTCTCTCTTTCTCTCTATTTTTCTATCTATCATTGTCTCTTCCTCCCTCATGTTGTTTCTAAGTGTTTCTGTTTCTCTGTCTTCTTTGTCTCTCGTCGTCTCTTTCTCTTTCTTCCTCTTTCTTTCGCTTTCTTTCTCTCTTTCTCTCTCTCTCTCTCTCTCTCTCTCTCTGTCTCTCTCTCTCTCTGTCTCTCTCTCTCTCTCTCTGTCTCTCTCTCTCTCTCTCTCTCTCTCTCTCTCTCTCTCTCTCTACCTATCTATCTATCCATCTATCACCATTGTTTCCTCTGTCAGTCTGTACTTCGTGTTTTTGTCTCTACGTCTCTCTTTGTCTCTTCATTCTCGACCCCCCTGCCCCCCCCGCGCCACTCTTTTCGCTCTCTCTCTCTCTCTCTCTCTCTATTTCTCTCTCTCTCTTTCTCTCTTTCTCTCTCTCTCTCTCTCTCTCTCTCTCTCTCTCTCTCCTGTATTCTCCATGAGTTGTTATATGTAAGTTAGGGTGTGAGCGCCAGATGTGAATATGTTTCTGTCTGTCTGTTTGTTTGTTTGTCTATCTCTCTGTCTATTTGATCTGTCTGTCTGTCTGTCTGTCTGTCTGTCTGTCTGTCTGTCTGTCTGTCTGTCTCTCTGTCTGTCTGTCTGTCTGTCTGTCTGCCAGTCTGTGCGTCTGTCTTTGATTCTGTGTCTATGTGTTATTTGTATTAACCATCCCCAAACTGAAAGCGTAGGGAGAAGGAGAGATGAACGTGAATATTTGAATGTTATAAATTCGAATTGACCTTTTGCCTAATTTAGTGATTTTTAAAGTAACTTTTGCTTTATTCAAAATGCTCTCTAAATCAGCTCCGATGTTTTCAATACTTATTCGAAATGTCTGTCTCAGGTCTGGCACTGGATGATGATGATGATTCAAAATTAGTCGTACTTGAAACTTTAAAAGATTATTACCGAGTACTTGAATCCTAACTTACAAAAATCAATAGGAAAATTGCGAGTTACTGGATATCCCTTGCAACAAGATTTAGTTCAAAGGTTTTACGTCCCTGTCGACACAATTTCGATCATTCCGAAAGCGGGCTGCTTTGGCTTTTCGTTGCTTGACCAACCTGTAGCTCAGAGAGATACAGCACCAATGCAGAAAGAGATCGAGAGAGAGAGAGAGAGAGAGAGAGAGAGAGAGAGAGAGAGAGAGAGAGAGAAAAAGAGATATTATAAACAATTATGAACAAAAATGACCATGTTAGAATAGCTATTTTAGTATCCATTCTGTTCAAAGGTTTGGATAGATCTGGACATTCTTAATTTTGGGGTACAACAAACAAAAGGAATGCAACCAATTGACTTCATCATAACAAAGATGTCCAGCCACTACACACTATTGGTCAATAGATGAGATTTAGAGCAGTGATTCGGTTGCTTCACACAAAAGGGAAAAAATATTCATGAAATTTAGTCCAAAGGTAAACGTATTTTTGATGTTTTAAATAAGGACAAACCGTTGGTTTTAAGACCTACGAGCACGATGATCAAATTAGAGCCAAATGCATTTCTGCCAACACTCACAACAAAAATGCTGAACGCATTGAAAAACACATTCGTTGTGACAGGATGCTCACAATTCGTGACATAACTGATAGCTTAGATCTTTCAATGTCAGCAGTTTACATAATTGTTTATAATCAGGAGGGTTCAGAAAAGTGTCAAGTGAGTGGATTCCAAAACAGCTGACAGATGACCAAAAGTCACAGAACATCGATGTTTGTACGGCGTCGTTTGAACGACGCAGGCAAAATAGCACTTGAGACCTGGGCCTGCTGGTGATAAAAAACAACTGAATGAAAGCTTTAAAAAAATTACAACTCTGATCTTGCCCCATCAGATTCCACCAGTTAGGACCAATGCAGAGTTATCGAGCCGGGAAGAGTATCATTGATGACACAAGCCGCGTGGAGCACGTTCGAGATTGTCTTCGATCGCTTGACCTAAACATTCTACAGGGATGGCGTGCATTTTCTCTTGCAACGATGGAAAACCCCACTTGATTGTTAATGAGAAGTACTTTGAAAAATAAAAGGAAATGTTTAGCCAACTAATTGTGTAAGTTGTATCTCAGTCATGACTAAAACAATCATTTTACAGCCCTTATCGAGTTAATTCTTGGACAGCCCTCCTTTTACTGTAGCCATACAATATCTTTATTTTGGTTTAAACATCGGTATCACTTAATAAATTTTACTCTGATAGTCATGGCTGTTTTGTTCTGCCGCTAACTATCAAACTAAATACTAAGTGAAATAATAGCATTAATAAATACTATTTGATGAAATTTGTGTCACTACTGTGACTGTGATTACAAAATTTTTATTTTATATCCTCATTATTGACAGTGTTGTTTCTGGGGTATCTTTTCTTCATAGTTCTGACGATTTCACAGGTTATAGTCCAGAAGACGACAATGGCGACATGATATCTGTCGGAACTACATTCGCTTTTTTTTTCATTTTGTTTGAGCTGTAACAGGCGCTCAAACATTTTAGTTAATTTTAGTGAGAGTTTTACGGCGCTGGCAAACGAATAAGGTGATATGCACGCGCACTCAAACATCTGTTGTATCTCCATGCAATAACAGAATGCTGTC